AGCCGCCGTGCCGAGCCCGCCCTCCCCGTGGAGGGAGCGTGCACCAAGCCGGGCTGCGTGGGTGGGAAGGCCGGCCAGCCCACCGGCGGAACTCGCTGCAGCCAGGTGACTCCAGAGTGAGACTGGGAGCAGCGGGGGCGTTTCACGTGCCCTTAGGTTTCAGGAAGCCAGAGATGGGACACACTCAGCAGGGATTGCTTCAACGATGTAACATTGCTTTTTTTCAGCATCCCTGCTTGCTGGTCCCTGGTATGTTAAAACTAAATCACCGCAGAGCCAGCGGGCCGAGCCCCAGCGCTGCTCTCAGGCGCTCAGCTGAGCAGTTGCCTGGCTGGGGGAGGCGGGCATGACCTCGGCCCACCGCGCAGGTTATCACACTCACAGCGTTCCTGCGGACAGGACGGGGTCGGGGGGGGGTGTGTGTGTGTTAGAGACGACCAGGTTCTGCAGAGTCACCCAACGCTACGCGCTCACAAATGATGCCGCCCACAGAAGGACACCAAGTAACAGGGAACCCGGGCAAATGCGCAGGTGAGGTAGATCCACAAATGGCACGTGGCGTTTATCAGGAGTTGTGGTCTCTGCCTGGGCCATCCGGCCAGGCGAGTGCGCCCCCAGCTCCCTCTCTGCCCCTCCAACCCCTTGCGAGAGCGGCAGCGGGCTCGAGCAGGGCACAGGACCTGGGGCTAAATGAAGATAAGGTGAAGGACTACAGCACAGGACTGGGCAGTAAAGGCAGGCTCAAACTCATCTTTTTTTCCGTTTTCCAGCCTGTCTGAGAGCTGGGCATGACCAGTGTAGGTGGTGAGCACTGACATGGTTGAGGGTTATTCCTGAGGAAAACCCGCATATGATGTTGGGCGAGATGCAGACGTGCCACCAGTCCAGCCTTTCTGCAGCAGATTTCTCTCTCCTGCTCACTTTGGAGAGAGAAGGTGAGAACAAGAGAAAAACACACTGCCTGTCAAAATGGTGGTAAGAGCTGCTGTTTAGAAAACCAAATACCCTAAGTCAAAGCTTTATCAGTAACTATTCTTAGCATCAATGTCATTCACAGCCTGGAGAATTTGGGGGACAACTTCAGATCAGCCTATCCCCATCCTTGCCTGTTAGTCACTGGTCAGTCAGAGGTACGTGTGAAAGAGGAAGGGAAGGGGAGGGTGCAAGTGTGGCCCCAGACCAGGCTGGCTGAGCGTGCAGCCTGCCCAGGGGGCAGGCTCCGTGCTTGCCACACCTGTGGGGAGGCAGCGCCCCTGCCTTGTCCCCCGTGCCTGCCCTTGGAAAAGAAACTGTTCCAAAGACATGCCATGAAGCTGCTCTGTTCAGTGTGCGTATGATCTTTTTAAGAAAATGTTTACAAATATATATATTTTTTGCATATGTATATGTATTTCTTAAATTCCATTTAGAAATGTAGCTAAAAAAAGTAGAAAAAGCGCTAGCGAGAGTAGGCGTGAGACCAGCAGACTGCTGCTCTTCCCACGAATGAAGGCACGAGTGTGGAGACACACCTGTGGGCAGGCCCGCGACAGGATGCCCTAACCCTCCTCCTCACGGAAGGGTTCATTTGCCTTTGTACCCCTACCCCACACATCACGTGAACAGAGGAACGGTGACCTCCCACAGCCGCACAGATGCAGAGCGGTAATAGCGCCCGTATTACCAATACGCTGGGCACAGTGCAGGTAAGAGCAGCATTTGGCCGCAGTAGGGTTTGTGATAAAGAAGCCTGGCATCTTCTTAACGTGATGCTTTCAGGGGAGGGAATAGAGATCAGGTCCTTTATTCGCAGGGCCAGATTCTCTCCTGCGTTCAGGTCCCTTTATGATACGTTGGCAGGACAAATGGTCCTTAAAGCCAGCACGAGCATAGCCTGTGCTCACATTAAGGCCCTAATTCACCTCCAAAGCAGAGGAAGGGGACATACCACAACAAAGAATTATGCCCTACATGTTAAATGGAAGAGATTTAGAATACCAGGCTATTTGGAAGATAGCCTGTGCTTTTTCTAACAACACGTACAACACACTTCAAAATCGCCAGGGATCAGCCTGTGGCCCAGATTTGCTCCTCAGCATGGTCAGTTGTACCACTCCTTGTGCATGGCTTTTTGAGCAGTCCAGCGCATGAGTTTAATTCTAGAGTTTCTTTTTGCCATTCCTCTTCCTACAGATCACTTTTTTGCTTTTCAAAGGAAGCCTGCCTCCTTCTACAGATATCTCTACAGGAGGGGAAAGTAAGACTCTGAAGTACTGAAGTAACATCAGCTGTATTACAAGCTCAGCAGCACTTTAAAGTAAGTGGCCAGGCATTATTAATTCAGTGGTGCCCACTTTTACATCATTTATCATAACGAGCTACTGTGGTATTCATGTGGATGCAATGTGTATTTCCAAAGAAATTTCATTGTGATTTATCAATTAATTAGTGGGCCATTACACTTTATTGAAGTGTTACCCAGAGTCTTAAACATTCATTACTGCCTTTGGAGCAAATGCTTCAACTCCATCTCAGCCTACCGGTGTCTGGCAATCAGGCTGTTCTGCCGAAAGCTCTCTTTGACTTGCCATGGTGTCAAGGACTGCAGAGGAGTGGTACCAAATAACCAAGAGTGAATTTGATCCCTCTGGCCTCATTCACCTGGCCACAGGCAATGCACATCACAGCATTTTTATGTCTTTACTAAATGGATATGAACGGGCAAGGGAACAGGAAGGGCTGCAGAGAAACCTACCCTTGGTGGGGTTACTGTTGCTGAGTTTCAGTGTCTTAAAAATCTGTTCACAGAGAGCAGGCAAAAGCAAGGAACCCAGGTAATTCAATAACTGCATGCAAGAAAAAGCAGGCAAGCTCTGAGACATTTTCTCCTGAATTACCTCCACAGGTGGGGTCAGAGGGGGGACAGCACGGGTTTGCTACATTCAATGCCAGCTTCTCTGAAAAGGCAAGTCCGTTGAAGAGGGAGATTTAAGTAACAACGGCACTACCAGCCCTGTGAATTGAGAGTGAGAGAGATCTGGCATTTTTATCGTCACAGTAAGAAGTCAACAGTAGCCAGGCCTCATCCACCAGCCACCTCTGACATTCTGCAGGCTGGCAGCCATGCCACAAACATCCATTCCTTTGCCAGAACAAAGATTAGGAGAATTTGATTTTTGATTTCTCCATGCAATTCCTTGCATCTTTTTCTCTCCCAGCCTGCAGTTTCTGGAGGGTGCACTGTCAGAAGCGGTGGCAGCTGACAGGTCAGTCTTAAAAAAGGGAATGTGTGTATGTGTGCAGGTGTAAAAGCCATGTCTGTACAAGCCAATTCCTTG